TAGGCGTAATAGAAATAAATCTGCTAGATGGCATCAGGGTCTTTGATTGCATCTTAAGTATTGGATTTTATTAATTTCTGAAAGTATTGTGAGAGAGAGATTGACTCTGCGAGAAGGTATAGAAGTTCCCATGGTTTATGCAGCCAGTCTTTTTTTGGGCCAGTACTTCTTTGGAGAGTTTTTTTTTTTTTTTTTTTTTTTTTTTTTTAACTGTGCAACTAATTAACAAGTAGAATTTTTTGATTATGGAATTTATTTATAAGTTCTGCCTTTTTTTGGGGGAGTCATTATTTTCATCTACAGGGAAAATTGGTCTTCAGAATCCTACAAAAAGTACCCTTTTTTATTTATTATATAGCTTTATTCGTTAGGGGAGTTAAGTGTGTTTTTCTACCAGATGAGGAACTTGTCCTGTAGTATGTTGCACTGGACCAGCAAATTTGAATCTTTTGGTGTTTGGGGTGGTTTATCTTGTTGTAGTACAATGGTTGCTGGTAGTTATAAGACTTACCTTACATCATATGAATTTTAGACTGGGTTATATCTCAAACCGAGAACATGGGCTGCAGATAAATTATAACTCAAACATTCGTAATTAATTAATTATTATGTTATTATGATGTATATGTGATTGTTTGCTTATTTTATGCATCTCATGACAATAATGAACTTTATTGAAGGATCCTGCTATCATTTAAAGCTGAAGAAATTTTGCAAGCTAATATTGGTTTCGCTGTTTTATTAGGTTATGATTGTTCTGGCCTTGTTTCCTTTTCTTACTTTGCAGGTAACTTTGGCGAAGTTGAAATGTGGAGCTGGTGATGGCCGTGCAGTGATTTATAAAGTTCTTCCATGGTGTTGAATTATTTGTATTTCCCCTGCTCTAATGTTGGTTTGCATTTTTAGGTTAATCTTCCAAGAGGAAGTGGATATGTTCAGTTCAAGACAAGGGCGATGCTGAAAAGGCACATTATACATGGATGGTGTAGGTCTAACAAAAAAATTGGGTTAAAATTGATTGCTATTGAGAAATGGGATTTGGAAACTGATGTTTTTAATTGCCTTAATGCAGGCCCAAATTGATGGTAATGTGTTCATGCGACGTTTACCTTATCTCTGCCCAAAAAGGTTTCACCACCTCCAAAGCCTTTTGCTGCTGCTTCAAAAAGAGATGCTCTAGAACTGATAATTTTACTGCGGAGTAGAGAAGGATGGACCGAACGACCAGAGAATGTATGCCACTTTCTGTAGATCTATTTATGGATAATTACGTTATTTAGTACATATTTTAAAGCTAACTTTTTCTGTTTATATCAGCTTCTCCCCGGCGGAAGCCACTACCCTCTCCTCGGAGGAGATCTCCTGGACCTAGAGAGGTGGATCCCTAGAAGACGCCGATTCTTCCCACGTAGATCCAGAGTCTCCTGTTCGTCGTAGTTAGAATCTCCTTATCCGAGTTGACACACCTCCCAGGCGAAGACCTGCTTCTCCTCCAGAGGTCGTTCTCCATCCCTCCACCAAGGCGGCAAGATCTCCTCCAAGGTTGGCTACTAATCACATTCATTAATTTTTTGCTTGTTTAGTATTGAGTGGTTTTAAATGTTTGACTAATTACTGTCCATGTAGGCCCTCTCCCCGAAGAATGCGCGGTAGTCCATCCGCGACGTTCTCCACTTCCTCCAAGGCGCCGGTAATTTACTGATTGATTAAGTTGGAAAAATTCAATGGTTAAAAGTATGCCAGATTCATGAGGTCCAAAACAGGATAAACCAACATGTAATCAGATAATTTGTTTTAGGCCCAACCCCTAACCAACCCAATGAGCACCCACCCACCCTTAAGTGCTAGTGGTATTTACTTGGATAAGAATAGAATTGCAAATAGCATGGGAGATATAACTTCCATTTTGCTTGAATTTGGAAAATATGGCAGTATTTTCAGTATAAAAGTGAAAGCGAATTCTGCCCTTTATTATGAGGGCAAGAGAAAGAAAAAGTCACTGTACATGGTTGGTATAATTTCTACTCTAAATTTGCATGTTAAATGTAATTTTAGCATTCAAGCATTTAGTTTCCTAAAATAGATGCATTATACATTCATGTCACTGGTTCTTATCTCATAACAAAGTTATTTCACTTAGTTCTCCTCCTAGACGAGCTCGCAGTCCTCCAAGAAGTCCCACTGCGCAGACGCAGTCGCTCCCCTATTCGTAGGCCAATTCGTTCTCTTCAAGTCTCTCTCGCCTAGGAGGTAACATCTGATTGTCTAAACATTTCTTGTGGTGTATTTGTCTGTCCCCCTTTCCCCCGCATCGTACTTTCCCTTTATTACATTACAATTTTTTTCAGACTCATTCCAGTTGAATGATATTAAGACATATGGCATTCACTTTTTTGGGAGTTTTAAAGGGTCTCCAATGATGTTTTCACTTTTAGTTGTGCAACATTCATTTTAAAACTATTAAAAAAAAAAATTTGGTCTCTTGTCTATTATCCTTTTTTTTATCCATGTTTTATTTCATGGTAGAGATAACTTTATTAAAAGGAAGACAAAGGAAGTTTATTAGGGAGAAAGATATGATTCTTGCCCTTATTATTAGTTTTTGCTTTACAACCTTTTTCCACTTTCTGAAAATTCAAACATGCATTTTTGATGATTTTTGTCTAAAAGAGGCCGAGTACCAGCTGCAAGACGCGGGCGGTCATCATCCTACTCTGGATCACCTAGTCCAGCGAGGGTTAGTGTAATTTGTTTTTGTTTTGAGGTAGAAACCTTCCTTGCTTGATGTCTAATATTTAGCTCCAACTGTCTCTGCATGTAACAGGTACCCAGAAGGATATCAAGGAGTCGTAGTCCTAGAAGGTAATTTTCTTATCACAATTATATAATGTATTTGGCAATCAGTGTCCTACCTAGATTTCTATATATTATTTATTTATTAACATATGTCTGTCTACACTGTCATGCAACTAATGATAATTTTGCTATAATTTTTTAATGAATTAATTTTAAAACAATTAGACTTTAATCTTCATGCTATCATATAGTTCCCTTTAAAGAAGTTAAGATGAGGGTTGGCAATGAATGTGGTATGGGAGTGGAAAAGGACTAGAATTATAGATGTGGGATAGGCTCAAATCTGTGGGAATGTATTTTTTCTATTAAACATAGTACTGAATCTATGCAATGCAATGTGGATGAAACGAAACTAGTGCACAACACATTTTCTCTTCATCAATTATTACAGATTATATTATATTTCTAAAATATTCAAATCAGATTGAAAAATCATGATGGATAAATAAGGCTACTTCTGGAATTGATTAACTAATAATTGTGAGTGGAGAGAAAAGAGTAGTGGGCAGGGCTGACCGACCTACTAGCATTTGGTTAGATTTTCAGTGTGCTTGATATTTGGGCAACAGAGAAATCCAGGGATGCTGCATTGGTTTTCCACCAATTTTTAGGTATTGGTGTAGCCAATGAATGTGGTCTAGTTGAACTTAAACCCTGTGGCTTAAATTTTGTTCTTTAATTTGTCAGTTGACAGTTTTATCTCGAAAATCGTACATGCCCATTTTTTGGCCTGGGAATTTTTGACAGTCATCAGAAAGATAATAGTGTTTCAGAGCTACTAGCATAGCTCCTTTGATTGGTAGCTTTAATTTAACCGAATTGGTTTTTTTTTTTTTTTTTTTTTTTTTTTTTTTTTTTTTAAGCTTTGCACTGATAGAAGCCGATTTATTTGTAGGCCTTTGAGAGAAAAGCAGTAGCACACAGCAAGCAGCAGTTCGCCGCCTCAAACCATAGGTAGGTAATTTTCTCAGCTCTTTTCTCACCCCACTCTCTATCCCGCCTGTCTTAACTGTTAACGATGTGAAAGTTAAGTTCCTATAGACTTGCCAAAGCTATGATGTATTTGTTGGTGTTTATTACTTTCAAAGACTTTCCAGTTGGAAGAGGCTATACATTGTGTTTAGTATTTCAAATTAAAACTCTTGTAGCGTATTTTTAATTCTAGTTTGTCTACTTCCGGACAATCTCTCTGTTTTTTTTTTGTTTTTCTATTATGTTCCTGATGGGCAGCGACAAGCTCTGGTATTTATATATGGATGATTGAATTGCTTTAATTTTCTATTACTTTGATTGAATTGCATGTTTAAACAGGGAAGCAATTTACCATTTGGCTCAATTGAATCTTCAGAGCTGAAACTAATTCAATGATTTTCCTCCTTAATGGTTGAACCATTGTTTTAGAACCCGGACCGTGGGCAACTCGCCCTGCTGCCCGGGTCACGGGTCAAACGTCCAACAGTTGGACAGGTGACGTTAGCACCAAAAAAAAAAAAAAAACTTTACTACTTTTGAAATAAAATTATTATTAATAATAGCTTAAGCACTTGTGGATACCATACTCACTATTTTTAAAGTAAATGCAAGTGTTCACAAAATTATTAAAAACCTGGTTAATGATAATAATTTCCCTGAAGATCTGATAAACAATAAAAAATTCTTTTAAGTTTTTGAAAAAACAAAAATGTTCTTATTATTAAGTTTTAATTATTAAAATAAAGCATAGAAAGAAAATTAGATAGATATTCATTAAAATCTGACTACTGACTTATTAATAGTTCATTAAAAATGTTAGAATTTTATTTATTTATTTTAAATTCAAGGGTCAAATGCATTAACTTTAAAACAACAATAATGCTAGAAATCTTACAAAGATTTATGTATAAAGTGATGTGACAAGAAATGAATAGAAGGGTAAATATGATAAGTTTGACTTTTCATGTTCACTATTTCATTCATTTCTTGCAACATCACTTTGTACATAAATCTTTGTAAGATTTCTTTGTACATGTAGACATGTAGTATTTATTTTAAAACTATGTAAGAAGTAAAAAAAAAAAGAAAAAAAAAACAACAATTTTTTTTTAACATAATAACTGAATTCGGCCCAATCAGGCCCATTACGCTATTACTTGCCAAAGCAAAATCAATTCAAAACATCCCTCTCCTTCTATCCACTGAAGCGAAGTGAGGGTTTATCTAGGGTTTCCTCTCTCAACTGCTCGTATGGCGAACCCGACACGAGGCCGTCCCTCGCCACCGTCACGGTCCGGTTCCGGGTCTTCCTCTCGCTCTCGTTCACGCTCCTACTCCGGTTCCTCACGGTCCAGCTCCCCTTCTCGCTCCACCCGGTCCAGATCCCCTTCTCGCTCGCGATCTCGTTCCCGATCCTTCTCTTCGTCTTCCTCCCCTTCGCGTAGCGGCAGCTCTCGTGGCCGCAGTCCTCCGCCCCAGCGCAAGAAGAGGTGACTTTACCATTTTGCCCCTCTATTGGCTGTATTGTGAAACGCATTTCCGCTATTGAGGAAAAATTATAGTTAGTGTGCTTTGTTTCAAGATTTATATTTTATACCTGTTTTTGATCATCAGTGATAAGATAAGATGGCTGATTTTAATTTTACCATTCAAAGAAGTGCTACATAATTGGCACTTTTATCTCAACAATGGTTTTAGTTACATATTCGTGTATACTTGTTACTAGGTATTTTAGTAAGTCATCTAGTTGTTTGTGATACAAAATGTAAAATAAATTTTTTACAGTTAGTTGTTAATGTTGTGGTCTAGTACTTTAACAAATTTTTAAAAAAAGTTTAGTAATTGAAATTTAAAGTTGTATGGTATAATATAATTGTGTTACATTTGATGGTTGAACTTACCTTTTAAATACTCGTGTTTCCACAGTCCTGCTGTAGGAGCTAGGCGGGGTCAGTCTCCACTGCCTCAATCTAAAAGAGCATCTCCACCTCCAAGGTAAAAACTTAAATTTTTAAACTTGTTTCTTCAGTTGAAATTCAAACATTCAATTTTTATTTGTTTCTATTTTTTCGTGTCTTTATGTAATTCTGGGCTTTGGAATAGTTCAAGGTTTATGAGGGGGCGATGTATGATTTTTTTGTAGAGAAAGCTTTAGGGTGTTAGTGTTTGGTTTGACTTTTTTTATTTTATATTATAGAAAAAAAGTTTTTATGCTGTAAAATATATTTGGTAGCTGTCTAATTATAGCATTCTAGTTTTTTGATGTTGAGACTCTGTTATAGTTACATTTGAAACTCATTTTTATTGCTGGTAGTTTTGGTGACAATTAAAGTTTTGCTTCTGAAATAGTAGACTTTTTAATTTTAATTTTTTGGTTTTGCTGAAAACCTTATTTTTTTTTTTTTTTTTTTACTACTCCTAGAGAAGTACTTTCTAATGTGTAGTTAATTTTGGGGTTTGCTTGGAAAGCAGGAGGATATCTTTGAGATGCTAACAGGACACTCTCAAGCAATACTTTGACAGAAATGTGTTTTTCATTTCTGCCAGTTTTATTTATGGATTTTGGGGTTTCACCAAGCATACACTAGCAATTGTTGTTTTAATTTTTTGTTTACTGTAGATTATACATCTTCCAGACTCTATATCTTATTCATAAACCTTTTGTAAGTTTGCAATCTGGTTTTTGCCCAGATGGCTCATCAGATTAAAAACCCACCCTTCCTTTTAATGTATTTACATTTTTGACATTTTATCTATACTGTATAATTGATTTCAGGAAAGCTTCTGAAAATGACTCTCTTGTTCTCTACATCGACTCGCTTAGCAGGAATGTGAATGAGGGCCATTTAAGAGAAATATTCAGTAAGTTGTCTCCATATTTTCTAATTTTTTTTTCTTTGCTCTTTAGGTTTTGTTGTTGGTCTTTTGCTTTTTGGTGGCTATACATTATTTCTGCTTTTCTTAGTTGTCTCTCGTATTTCTGGTTAAGCTGCTGTGTTTCTAAGATTAAAACTTCATTTATTTACCTGGAAACTATATTTTGCATAGGAATTTTTTTCTGACTTCAATGATTTTTAATGTTGCTTTAGAGATTGTGCTTTCTGTGCTTTAGAATTTGGGGTACTGTCCTGCTATGCTTGCATGGATGTGGCAAATGTATTCTGTTGTGGCCCCATTAGATTTTTGGTATCTTGTGCTTTTCAAGCTTTTTTGTTTTTATTATGTAACTGGTGGCATAGTTTTGGTCTGTGCAACGAAAGGCAAGTGGTTGTTCATATACTCACTTGGACGGTTGTTAAACAGCCAACTTCTGTGTAGGAGCACTTTTGCCAATAATATTATTTTTTTCATTAAACAAATGAAATTTAGGAATTAGTTTTTCAAGGAAGAAGATAGAAAAAGAAATAGAAGGAGAAGATTAATAGAATGGTCCTGTACCAATACTTATTATCAAAATAGTCTATCTAGTACATCTAACTTTTTGTCATTGTATGGGGAGGGTTTTTGAAACAGCTGCACAATATTAGGCGTAATAGAAATAAATCTGCTAGATGGCATCAGGGTCTTTGATTGCATCTTAAGTATTGGATTTTATTAATTTCTGAAAGTATTGTGAGAGAGAGATTGTACTCTGCGAGAATGTATAGAAAGTTCACATGGTTTAACGCATCCAGTATACTATAACATTGTAGAACTTCTTTTTGGGCCAGTAGTTTCTTTGGCGAGTGTTTTTTTTTTTTTTAACTGTTGCAACTAAGTAACAAGTAGAATTTTTTGATTATGGAATTTATTTTATAGAGTTCTGCCTTTTTTTGGGGAGTCATTATTTTCATCTACAGGGAAAATTGGTCTTCAGAATCCTACAAAAAAGTACCCATTTTTTATTTATTTAATATAGCTTTTATTCGGTTAGGGGGAGTTAAGTGTGGAATAAAAAATTTTCATACCAGATGAGGAAGGTTTCCTAGTAGTTGTTCGCACTGGACCAGCAAATTTGAATCTTTTAGGTGTTTGGGGTGGTTTATCTTCGTTGTAGTACAATGGTTGCTGGTAGTTATAAGACTTACCTTACATCATAATTGAATTTTAGACTGGGTTATATCTCAAACCAGAGGAACATGGGCTGCAGATAAAATATTATATAACTCAAACATTCCGTAATTAATTAATTATTATGTTATTGAGTATATATGTGATTTTTGCTTATTTTATGCATCTCAGTGACAACATATGAGAACTTTATTGAAGGATCCTGCTATCATTATAAAGCTGAAGAAATTTTGCAAGCTAATATTTTGGTTTCGCTGTTTTATTAGGTTATGATTGTTCTGGCCTTGTTTCCTTTTCTTACTTTGCAGGTAACTTTGGCGAAGTTGTAAATGTGGAGCTGGTGATGGACCGTGCAGTGAGTTTATATAAGTTCTTCCATGGTGTTGAATTATTTGTATTTCCCCTGCTCTAATGTTGGTTTGCATTTTTAGGTTAATCTTCCAAGAGGAAGTGGATATGTTCAGTTCAAGACAAGGGCAGATGCTGAAAAGGCACAATTATACATGGATGGTGTAGGTCTAACAAAAAAATTGGGTTAAAATTGATTGCTATTGAGAAATGGGATGTTGGGAAACTGATGTTTTTAATTGCCTTAATGCAGGCCCAAATTGATGGTAATGTTGTTCATGCGACGTTTACCTTATCTCTGCCCAAAAAGGTTTCACCACCTCCAAAGCCTGTTGCTGCTGCTTCAAAAAGAGATGCTTCTAGAACTGATAATGTTACTGCTGATGTAGAGAAGGATGGACCGAAACGACCTAGAGAATGTATGCCACTTTCTGTAGATCTATTTTATGGATAATTACAGTTATTTAGTACATATTTAGTAAAAGCTTAACTTTTTACTGTTTATATCAGCTTCTCCCCGGCGGAAGCCACTACCCTCTCCTCGGAGGAGATCTCCTGGACCTAGAAGAGGTGGATCTCCTAGAAGACTGCCAGATTCTCCTCCACGTAGACGTGCAGAGTCTCCTGTTCGTCGTAGGTTAGAATCTCCTTATCACCGAGGTGACACACCTCCCAGGCGAAGACCTGCTTCTCCTCCTAGAGGTCGTTCTCCATCCCCTCCACCAAGGCGGCATAGATCTCCTCCAAGGTTGGCTACTAATCACATTCATTAATTTTTTGCTTGTTTAGTATTGAGTGGTTTTAAAGTGTTTGACTAATTACTGTCCATGTAGGCCCTCTCCCCGAAGAATGCGCGGTAGTCCAATCCGCAGACGTTCTCCGCTTCCTCCAAGGCGCCGGTAATTTACTGATTGATTAAGTTGGAAAAATTCAATGGTTAAAAAAGTATGTCAGATTCATGAGGTCCAAAACAGGATAAACCAACATGTAATCAGATAATTTGTTTTAGGCCCAACCCCTAACCAACCCAATGAGCACCCACCCACCCTTAAGTGCTAGTGGTATTTACTTGGATAAGAATAAGAATATTGCAAATAGCATGGGAGATATAACTTCCATTTTGCTTGAATTTGGAAAATATGAGCAGTATTTTCAGTATAAAAGTGAAAGCGAATTCTGCCCTTTATTATGAGGGCAAGAGAAAGAAAAAGTCACTGTACATGGTTGGGTATAATTTCGTACTCTAAATTTGCATGTTATAAATGTAATTTTAGCATTCAAGCATTTAGTTTCCTAAAATAGATGTGCATTATACATTCATGTCACTGGTTCTTATCTCATAATCAAAGTTTATTTCACTTAGTTCTCCTCCTAGACGAGCTCGCAGTCCTCCAAGAAGGTCTCCACTGCGCAGACGCAGTCGCTCCCCTATTCGTAGGCCAATTCGTTCTCGTTCAAGGTCTCTCTCGCCTAGGAGGTAACATCTGATTGTCTTAAACATTTTCTTGGTGGTGTATTTGTCTGTCCCCCTTTCCGCCCTGCATCGTACTTTCCCTTTATTACATTACAATTTGTTTCAGACTCATTCCAGTTGAATGATATTAAGACATATGGCATTCACTTTTTTGGGAGTTTTAAAGGGTCTCCAATGGATGTTATTCACTTTTAGTTTTGCAACATTCATTTTAAAACTATTAAAAAAAAAAATTTGGTCTCTTGTCTATTATCCTTTTTTTTTATCCTATGTTTTATTTCATGGTAGAGATAACTTTATTAAAAAGGAAGACAAATGGAAGTTTATTAGGAAGGAAAGATATGATTCTTGCCCTTTATTATTAAGTTTTTGCTTTACAACCTTTTTCCACTTTCTGAAAATTCTAAACATGCATTTTTTGATGATTTTTGTCTAAAAGAGGCCGAGTACCAGCTGCAAGACGCGGGCGGTCATCATCCTACTCTGGATCACCTAGTCCACGGAGGGTTAGTGTAATTTGTTTTTGTTTTGAGGTAGAAACCTTCCTTGCTTGATGTCTAATATTTAGCTCCATCTGTCTCTGCATTGTAACAGGTACCCAGAAGGATATCAAGGAGTCGTAGTCCTAGAAAGTAATTTTCTTATCACAATTATATAATGTATTTGGCAAATCATTGGTCCTACCTAGATTTCTATATATTATTTATTTATTAACATATGTCTGTCTACACTGTCATGCAACTAATGATAATTTTGCTATAATTTTTTAATTGAATTAATTTTAAAACAATTAGACTTTGATAATCTTCATGCTATCATATAGTTCCCTTTAAAGAAGTTGAAGATGAGGGGTTGGCAATGAGGATGTGGTATGGAGAGTGGAAAAGGACTAGAATTATAGATGTGGGATAGGCTCAAATCTGTGGGGAATGTATTTTTTCTATTAAACATAGTACTGAATCTATGCAATGCAATGTGGATGAAACGAAACTAGTGCACAACACATTTTCTCTTCAATCAATTATTACAGATTATTATTACTATATTTACTAAAATATTCAAATCAGATTGAAAAATCATGATGGATAAATATGAGGCTACTTCTGGAATTGATTAACTAATAATTGTGAGTGGGAGAAAAGAGTAGTGGGCAGGGCTGACCGACCTACTAGCATTTGGTTAGATGTTTCAGTGTGCTTGATATTTGGGCAACAGATAAATCCAGGGATGCTGCAATTGGTTTTCTCACCAATTTTTAGGTATTGGTGTAGCTCAATGAATGTGGTCTAGTTGGAACTTAAACCCTGTGGCTTAAATTTTGTTCTTTAATTTGTCAGTTGACAGTTTTATCTCGAATATCGTACATGCCCATTTTTTGGCCTGGGAATTTTTGACAGTCATCAGAAAGATTTAATAGTGTTCAGAGCTAGCTAGCATAGCTCCTTTGATTGGTAGCTTTAATTTAACCGAACGTAGTTGGTTTTTTTTTTTTTTTTTTTTTTTTTTTTTTTTAAGCTTGCACTGATAGAAACTGATTTATTTGTAGGCCTTTGAGAGGAAGAAGCAGTAGCAACAGCAGCAGTAGCAGTTCGCCGCCTCGCAACCATAGGTAGGTAATTTTCTCTGCTCTTTTCTCACCCTCATTCTCTCTATCCCGCCTGTCTTAACAGTTAACGATGTGAAAGTTAAGTTCCTATAGACTTGCCAAAGCTATGATGTATTTGTTGGTGTTAATATTACTTTCAAAGACTTTCCCAGTTGGAAGAGGCTATACATTGTGTTTAGTATTTTGACAAATTAAAAACTCTTGTAGCGTATTTTTAATTCTAGTTTGTCTACTTCCATGGACAATCTCTATGTTTTCTTTTTTTTGTTTTTTCCTATTATGTTCCTGATGGGCAGCGACAAGCTCTGGTATTTATATATGGATGATTGAATTGCTTTAATTTTCTATTACTTTGATTGAATTGCATGTTTAAACAGGGAAGCAATTTACCATTTTGGCTCAATTGAATCTTCAGAGCTGAAACTAATTCAATGATTTTCCTCCTGAATGGTTGAAACTGCAGTTTATTTTGAGTAGGGTTGCACGTGTCGGTTTCCAAGGGTTACAGTGAAGCAACTCAAATCAACCCATTTATATCATTCAAAATCAAATCTTATTAATTTTAATTAGTATCACCAAGTAAAGCATAAAATCAAATAATATACTGCAAGTACAATCTAATGTAGATAAGATAAAAATCACTTTCTGTCATAAAATAAGGGCAAAAAAGGAAATAAAATCTATGTATATATAGTAGAAAAGTAGAATAAAATTTTTCTTCTATCAAAATTCAAACTGAATGTCTATTCAAACATCAATCACACTTAATCTCACCTTTAATATATGTGTACAAATGTTGTTAGTTATACCATTTATATACTGAGAAATGGTTACAATAATACAATGATATGGAAGAAACATAATGAATAGAGCGAAGGCATGTTTCCATCCAAATATTTGCAAAGTTTTCATCTTTGGTTTTATATATTCTAGATTCTTACTCTTAAAGTAGCATCGTTAACGATTTTTACTTTCTAATACATATATAAAGGGTATTATTACTATACTACCATTGACAAATAAATTAAATTAATTTTTAATCCTCAAATTAGTAGAATTAGAAAAATAATCAGTTACTTTCAAATTTATTTTAATAACATCATTTATTTTCAATCCTCGCATCATCCCCATCTCTAACCACCCAACCACTGTCACCATCACCTAGTCTTTGTCGTCAGAAACTCTATCAACTATCACCGAGGCTGCCATGACCAACAGCAAACCCGGATCCAAACTTTATACCATGAAATCAAAATACCCTAGATCCAAAAACTAAAACAATTAGAGAATCTAACTACCACAACGACCTAGCCACTATCGCCAGTATCAACACCTAACTTTCAAAATTTTATTTCAATCCAAACAAACTTCATCACCAAGAATCCCAACAAACTCTTATCAAATTTATTTAAGCAACCACCTGCAAATGAGCCATCACCAAATCGCTGACCAAAACAGGGCCAACGACGGAAATCCACAACCCAAACTAACAAAAACCAAAAATCCCCAAGAAGCCCAAACAAACCGGTTAAGAAAATAAACTAAAGATCACTGTTTTAAAACCCGGATCGGAGGGCAACCTGCTTTGCTACCCGGGTCAATCGGTCCAACTGGTTGGACTGGTGATGTCATCATGCTGACGTTAGCACTGCAAAAAAATTAGGGTTCGAAGAACGAAGAACTTCGCCGCGGCGAAGAATGTTTTCTATATATCCACTTTGTCTTTTCATTTTCCACACTTTTTTTCAAATACATTTGAGAGAAAAATTTTCCAATTTCAATCCTTTGCCTCCCAAGTGCTTTCCCAACAAAGTTTTCACTCCTTAACCCTCCTAAACACAAAAACAACTCATTTCCAACACATTTTTTGAAAATTCACGAAAATTTCAAGTTCAAGAATTTGGGGCTTTCCAATCTGGGCTGATTCTGAGTAAATTGGTGGCGAATAATCCTTAATATGGTAAGATCTCAAGTTCCTAAACATTTCACAAAATTTCAAGTTTTAAGTTTAGATCTGAAAATTTTATTTTGGTTAAGTTGCAAATTTTGTGAGTTTGATTTTGTTGAAGAAGGGTTTATTGTGCATGTTGTGATATTGAGGAGTGTGTGTTGAGTTTTGGAGTGTGTTGTTAATTTGGAGACTTGTAATTTGGGGGTCTGATTACGAATTTTTGGAAGTGTTTTCAATTTGATTTTCAGGTTTGAATTGGTTGTTGTGGGACCTAGGCTTGAATTTTGGGGTGCCTGTGAGTTGAATTATAGAAAATGGCACCCAAAGTTAAGTTGCCATACAAAGGAAAGGGAAAAGGAAAGAAAGTGGACAGCCGTTTGTGAATGAAGAGGCCCAGAAATGATATCAAGTGGCTATCCAAAGAAGAGATAAGGGCTTTATTCTGAGCGCGGATTGACTGCGAGTCAGGCGTTGGACTAGAGTCGAGGGAGACGATGGGAACTGTTTGAGTGCTCCTGCCAGTCGGCTGTAGAGCCGCTAGTAAGGAGTTTTATGCCAATTTCCTGAACTGTAAGAGGGTACCGTATTGTTAGAGGGATTGATGTGCCATTACAGAAGATGTGATCAATAAGTTTTATAACTTGCTTGGGTTTGATCAGTATGAGTACGGAAGGTTTAGGAGGACACAATTTGAGGATAGTATATCTTCCAGTCATTGCAAAATCGGATGCAACTTGGTCAGTGTCGAAGAACAAAAGAAGACCATTAAGGGAACTTCTTTGACACCGATGGCTCGGCTGTGGCAATATTTTGTTAGTGCGAGATTGATGTCGGAAACACACTATAGCATGGTAACTTACGAGAAGGCATTACTGCTTTATTCAATTGCCACAAGAAAGAGTATAAATGTGGGACGAATTATCTTGAACAACATTCATCATGCGGCCAAACCAGGGCGATCAAGTTACTCTTTCCCACATCTCATTACAGCCTTGTGCATTAAAGATGGAGCCAAGGTGGAAGGTGATGAGCAACGTATTGATGCTGCCCCTCTCCTCGATTCAGTTATTTTCAGAAGCATCTTGAACGCCCAGAAGCTGAGCAACCAAAGCAGGAACAAAGCGGCAGAGCGCACAAAGCCTAGTCACATCCTCCAGCTCCACAGCTACACAAAAGGAGATAATGCAGCAGATGATGGGTATGATGACATATGAAAAAACGTCAAGCTTGGTTGGCTGAACAGACCCATGATGTATGAGATGCAGAAGAGTAGCTTTAACAACTCAACGTTGACACTTTAGGATTCCAATGGGTCGACTAGGATTCAGATGAGTGGATGGGCTCAGAGTCAGAAGAGGAGGAAGAGGAAGACAAGGAGGAGAAGAATGAGCATCGGAACACTGTTTTGTTTTTCTGTATTTTTATTAGTTTTTAGTTGATTTTGTTTTTCATTTCAAACATTAAACTCAGTTTATATTCGTGTTTGGATTGTTTAGTCGTTTTAGTTGTTTCATTTTCCTTTAATTTGTAGTTGTTGCAAGGACGAGATTAGGTTGTAATAATGGACACCACAGTTTCAATTGTTTTGACAGATTTTGGGTGATGAAAAAGTCAAAGACTGGGTGTGCACTGTGGAGCAACACTTCACGGATTGACCAGGAACTTTCTCGTACCTTTGTTATTTTTTATTTTCTATTCCTAATGTATGCATAATGGGACATTGGGGACAATGTCATCTTTTGTTTGGGGGTAGGAAAATTAGAAAAAATTTTGATTTTGTTTATTTTACTTTGGTTTGATTGTTTTTTGCCGATGATGAATTGTATAATCAATGATGCGAATTGGATTGTTGAGAAATGTTAAGATTGCTTCAAATTTAGGTTTATTGACTGAATTTTGGTTGAGGTTTTTGAGTGGTTCAACCACCATTTTCGCTTTTTCGGCATGCTTAGATTCATTTATGTACTTAGGTAAAGTTTGATAATGTTAGTGGACTCTAGAACCTAGTAGAGAAGTGCTTGAGGCGAAATTCTAGGATTAGACATGGTTGAGGAGATGATTAGGCATTCTTTTTGGAACGTTTGAGCCTTTCTAGCCGACCTACGAATGAAATTGTCCCTAGTCACCCGTTTGAGCCGTATGAATCATTATTGCTTTATTTTTCTTGGCAACCCAAAAATTGTCTGATCCTTAACCCAAACACTCTGTCGTACCTTAGGAGAATTCGATCCTAATGCAAACACAAAGAACATAAGAGTTTACGAATAAACTAAAGAATAGTTTGGGGTTTGGAGAAGGCAATAAAACAAAAGAGGTAGTTCACCTCAATTCACATTGATTTGTTATTAGTTTGATACATAAAAAAAAAAAACGAAAAACGAAAAAACATTTGCCAAGTTTAAGGGTATATCGGCTGGAAACCAGTAACCGCCTTAAAAACTGCCTGGCAGTACTTGGCGACCTCTGGTGTACAACGCCACGTACACCTTAGACGCACTTCCCGCCGCATAATGGTATCATAAATAAGAAGATACAAGTTTGAGGGTTGTACATTAGTGAACGTTGAGTGGTGGTTGAGAAGAAGTGGAGTTCAATTTGATTTGAGTGTTTGCATAAGGAAAACCGAGTTCTCTTACTTTGTATTTCATATCCTTTTCTTGGAACCCACTTCCCGAGCCTAGCGTTACAAGCTTATAAAGACCTGCTGATTCTTATCTTTGTCTAGTCCTCATTAGTGGAGAGTAGTTCGATATTTAGGCTTATGGAGTCTGCCACATTTGATAAACTTTGCATTCTTGCATAAAATAATCTGGGAAGTCGGAAGGTGGATTGAAGTGGGATTACCTACTCGGGGGACCAATTGAGAAAGAAAGTCGATGCAACTTATAACTTCTTGAGGGGTTAAACTTTTCTATTAATAATTTTGCAACAACTTTTAGATTGGTATAAATTCTAGGCAGTTGTTTTGGTAGTCGAGCTTTTGTTTCTCTTATTTAATTTTGTCAGTTGCTGTTTTGTGTTTTGAACGTTTGTATTTTTCGTTATCTTGTTTTGTACCTGATGCTCAGGGACGAGCATGTCCTTTGTTTGGGGGTTATTGATAATCCGAGGATTATACTAGTTTATTTAAATTTTTAGGCCGATTTAAATACTTCTTAGTCTATTTTGCCTAAATTGCGACTTAATTTCCTACATTTCGT